GCGTTATTCTGTTACACTGTAGCAGTAAGGGGGTCGACATAATCAGAAACAACGCTTAGAAAGGCTGTTGGGTTTAATTGGTGTTGGAGATGTGGCGATCAGATCCCCAAATCAAATATCGGCTCCAATATTGACTTATTATCTAGATTATATATCGAATGAATGACACCAATCCAGCATTTCAATCCATTTCCCTCTTCTGTATTAAAATCACATCATTATAGTTACAGTGGTCTGCAGAGACAGCCGCTGTTTCATATTACATTTGAAAATATCTGTTAGCAATGCACTTCATAAGAAATTGTTATTTGCTGCTAATATACATTTGATCTGTTAATTTGATAACATTAACTATGTTAATTTGTCTATGTAATTTGTTATACTTTTTACCAATATTTATATCAAGCCTAATGCCTTCACTCATTTGGCAAGACATATGGTTTGTTCATTCAACACTAATATGTTATTGGTATCAATATATAACTGGTATAGGTTAAAACACAGGTTTCAAAAAGCCAGGAGAATTGATTTTTTTTTTTATATAAAAGATAAAGAGAGCAGGGTTTGATTATTATTAATCCATTAAAACATTTTCTTACTGAAAAATAGCTAAAAAGTTTATAAATACCTGCATTAAAATATTAAAACCTGCTGGCACAAAAATACTCTATTTTATATTATGGTACCGGTACTTGCAGTTTTGACCAAAAATCTAAAAAAGGCTTTTTAATTTCAGCTGTTGCCGACATAATCCCCAACATCCTGGCTGAGTTTAGGCAGTCTTCACTTGGGGATTCTGAGCACTTTCTCCCACATGTATGAGGGCTGCTATCAACAAGAAGAGAACATTTAAGTAGAATCACAATCCTGATTAAATGGCTACACAGAAGTGCTGAAGGATTTTGCCAAAAATTTTAATTGTAATTATTTTCGACAAATATTGGGATTGCTATTTTATTATGATTTTCCTCTGCACTGTTGACTGATGTTTAACTCCAGCCTTTCCGTTTTTTCATTTTCTTGAAAGCTTTTTTGTCCAGCTCCTTTGCTGGAGGACTTAACTGTAACAATTGTTTGGAAAAGTGCTAACTTTTATTTACATACATAGATGTGTATAGCTAGAAGTCTCTCTTTCCTTTTTTGGCGCATCAAACCTACTTTAAATATATTAGCAAACGGGAGTGAGACAATATTATTATCTTAGTCTTGTTAAAAGTTATGAAACCAACATTTAGTTCCTTTGTAATCCTAAAATTTTATGTTTAGTGTGCTTAAATTTTATTCCGTAAAAATTCAAAAAATCCACTGGACTTGGTTTTCAAGATTTGAAGACGTTTCGCCACCTCTCCAGGAAGCTTTCTCAATTCAAATGTCTGGATCCGCAGTGAGTTTGAGTCTTATATAGACAACGCCTTGTATCGCTTGGAAACATGCAATGGTAACCGATGAATGGGTCGTTAGTTCCATCGTTAGCCTGCAATATCTGAACCTGTCTATGATTCTAGGGGTCGGTCGTTAAAGGGGGGATTGCCATTAAGGGGGGGATTGTCTCCTGTAATACCTGAAACCTGTCTATGATTGTTAAGGGTTGGTCGTTAAGGAGGTATTGTTCACCGGCTGGGGTGGGCTTAAATTTTATATTGCAAACTCATTTAGTTGCCCAGTCATACTACACAGATTAAGTTATGAGGTTGGATTTTGTGGCTCAAAAAAACATGTTAAAAACAATCCCCCCCCCCCCAACTCATCTAAGGAAATAAAGCCTTGGTACTTTTTAGATTGCAACAACAGAAAAGGCATCCAAATCGTTGATCATCCAGAGTGCCTAGCCTCAGAATGAACAAGTGTCCAACGAGAGGTGCTTAAAGAGTGTTTGCATAAGAGATGATTGTGATTAAAAAATATATATATATATACAGTATATTCATTCTCATTTAGTTTTATAACCAATTTCATCTATGTTTTTCCAGATGTTAACTTGCATTTCTCTAGCTTGTTACTCCTCAGTCATGAGGCTGTTATGCTACACCCACTATTCTAAGGAAACAAGGGGGAGGATGAGTGGAGCTCATGAGGCTCCGAAGTGGAACCTTATGTCATCCAGACTCTAAGTAGAAAGAGAGGGAGACACAACAATAATGCAAAGATAAATTATTGAGCTAAAGTTTATTTATGGTTTATTGCAACAGTCTTACTGACAGCTATTCGTTGAAAGACTATTATTATCTCAGTTAAAACGATTGGATTTTTAACATGTTGACCTTTAGAACTTCCAGTCCAAAGATCATTGTTTGTGCAAAGTCAAGCTGGTAGAACAAAGTGCGTACCCCTCCGCTCATTGTGTTCCCAACTACATTCTTGTTTCAATGTGGGTGGAGAATTTGCTCATGCAGTTAGTACTCAGAGGGACACTGTCCTTTGCTTGTGAACGCTGACCTTTTGAAATGGATGCAAACCAAGGATCCATAAATTTGGCTCACTGCCTCAGTTTGGAATGAATTGAGCAACTGTGCAGTTTAGGAAAATAATCTTTCCTATTAAAAAACCTTATCATTCTTTGATTATTATATTTGCCACAATTTTCTTTTAATCCAATTGGACAATTTTGTTAATTTTCCTTAATTATCTACTTACAGAGATCTATCTACTTTTTGCACAGTTCTTTTTTTAAGTAAAATGTAACAATTTAGTCATGTGAAGAACAATACCTGCATGCATTGGTCTTGAATCACAGCTGTATTAAACACTGAAGATTTTACCATTGAAATAAGTAATGATAAACACAACCTGAAACTCTTTTTGAATCTTACTTTTCTTTTTTTGTGTCTTAAATTCTGCATTTAGTGTAATTTATTTTGCTTTCAATCACTGTTATTCATATTTGACTGAGTAAATTTACACATCCTTTCTTTTGTTTCTTATTTACCTGTTATATGTGTTTCTGCTTTATGTCTGTTTACCTAAATCAAAATGTTACTCTGTTGTTTTAAAGTACTTCATGGCAGTGTCCTGTGCTCCTCAGTTGCAGTTCATTCACCTTTTTGTTGCTCATTTTTCTTTCTGCTCTCTATATTATTAACATTTTCAGAATCATTTTCCTCATAATTGTATCTTCCTCCTGCCTGCATTAAGGTCCTCTGCTATTACATGATATTATGGAAAAAATAGAATACATTTCTAATTCATTTTACTATGGTGTTGCGTTTCTTTTTTTAACTCAAACTAGAAGTAGATTGAGATTTCATTATCCTCTATAGACAGTGCTGCTTACTTTGACTACACCTCTCGCTTAGCACTGATAATCTTTTCAAAATCTACAGTTTGATAGAAAACACTGTGTGCTTTATAATCTAATGTTTGCAAAACATCCTTTTGCTTGGTGACATGCGAGAGACGTAGTTAACACTTGCATTATCAAAACATTAAATAATAAATGAACAGTGCTGGCTTGCCCCCTCGTGCAGGATGCAGCCTGATGAATAGAGGTGCACAATATGGTCACTGTGTTCTCAGCAAACTCACATACTCACTGACTTTTGGTGTGCTTTGTTCAGTGGGAGGAGAAAACAAAGGCAGGTTTGTTGTATTAGGGAAAACATAACTGAGTGTTTAAGAGATGCTTACGGAGCTAACAGGCAGGCTGACAGCATATTTTTAAAATAAAATGCTGCCTCTTTCCTCCACATACACACATCCAGGTACCCATAAAAGCACCTTCTTAACTGACCTGCTGTTAAAGCTGTCCATGGCCCCTCACTACCTAGCTCCAGATGTTATTGACATAGTCCTACCGAGAAAGATTTACATCTACGCACATTCAAACAAGGAGAAATGCAGGATTCTTGCATCCCCACAGAGACATGTGGAAGACTAAATAGGGATTTGTCATTTTATCTACTCTCTTAGGCTATCTGGATAAGTCACACAGCCTTTTTTTTGACTAATTTGGCTCTGGTTGATTTTTAAAGCATATTACACAAGAGAGGAACTTTGATTAAAATGCAAACTAGTGATTTCTACACAATCAAGGCTTATAAGATCTTCCTCTCTTCATCTTCTTTATCTCTAATATCTGCCTTGGAGCTTGAGCAACAAAACAAATTAATTATAGTGCTTCTAACTAAGCAATAGAGTTACCTCTCGATGGTCTCATGAAAACAAACCATAATTTGGGTTGCCACAGTGACAGTAGACTGAAGGGTGTGGTTGGACAGGTTTTCACCTGCAAAATGCCTAAAACCCCAGAGCTTAACACAGCGCAGGTTGCTTTTGTTTCACACGAAGGAGCTGTCCAAGTTTGAGGGAAGCACTATGAATGCTGGTAATTGTCCTCCACATGAAGCAATGGAACAAAAGCTGGAAAGAAAAATACAGAAAGAAATCTGAAAATTGCATATCACTGCTTTAAAAAGCTAATTTTTTTAATGTACAAGAAAGCTCCTGTTTTCCTGTTGTTAATAGTATTAGTCTTTTTCTGTGTGTACCGTTATGATGCCTTGCTAAAATCGTTGTGCCCCTTTAACTTTGATGCATGGAATTACGTGTGTTTTTTTACAAATATAAAATTTGCATGGTTTAGCATGCATTTAAATTTGGCTAACCTAAGCCCTTACTTGGTAGAATCTCCTTTTACTCTAATTAAATCTCCAAGTCTCATCCTACTTTACACTTTAAACTTCCAGAGATTAACATTGATATAAGAGAGAATCTGACTGCAGTTGCAAAAGATACTTAATTGTCTTTGGATCTTGAGTTTGGACTCTTTTAAAAATGCTTGTATTGGTTGACTATGTATTTTTTTGTGTATGCATTTCACACCACTGAACATTGTAGAAACCCTGTTTAGTGCATTAAAAGCATTGAAAACTAATATGTATTTGTGTCAAGGTGTGTAGCCACCCAGAAATTAAACAACTATTACATTCTAGATATATCAACTTGTGCTGTATGTCAAAATTCTTCTTTGATTTATCTGCATGATTTCTTTTGTATGTTAACAGGGCATTATTTACCTATGAAGGGGTCACCAACAAGCTCAAATTGGCAGACTCGGGAGGTATATTTAACTGATAATTTTTCAAGTAATTGAGAAGTTAAACCTTTGTTTTGCAAAATAAAGTGAACAATATTGTTTTTCCTTCTTTAAACTTCTTTCCTTTTTAGCGGGCGGTGTGGCAGAACTGGCAGAAAAGTTTCACATCTCCAAACCTCAGTATGGACTGTGCAAAATAGGAGGTATTGATGGAGGTGCTCCTCGGATTCTTATGATAAGCTGGGTAAGCTGCATCAACTGCTATAAAAACAGCACAGATAAAAGAGAGCCTCATGCATAAACGCACACAGAGCTAAACATATTTAGACTAGTTTCCTTAAACATTGCCAGGATTATTTAGAACAATTTCAGAGCATCTACATACATACTATAGTGTACTAACAAAGAGAAAAACCTGATTCATTGTAATACATTCTTTTAAAGGTAACCCTTGGGCTAATTATTCTAATTTGAATGCCACTCTAAATAAATAAAGGCTCTAGGCTAAAGTAATAGTTAATATTGACTGCCGGCTACTGTTAAAGCATTATAAGGCACTTAGTGAAATACTTTGAAAATCTAAATCTCAAGCCAAGAATGTTATTGGAGGACAGGACAGGATCTTATTACTAAAAATATGTTTATTTTGATGGCAGAAATTAAGGTCAATGTAATAAGAAGGAACGGACAATTTTAAGAAAAATAACAAAAGTGGTTCTTTACAAAATTCATGAAAACCCCTAGCCTGACGTAGTCCGACTCAATTCTAGTCAGAATATGAGTCTGATGCTGCTCCATAGAGCTGCGATTATGGGGCGTGTTTTGAATGAACCAGGAAAAAAAAATGCCTCTGCACTCAATTGGATAGACCTACAACCAATAAGAGCAACGGAGTGTGTGACGTATTTTAAGCGATGCATAGTTGTTGTCAACAAAAATCAAAGCGTGCAGTTTCACGCCTAGAATAAGAAGATGAGCCTTGATCGCGTTTCTCTGTTCCTCTTTTAAAATTAATTTGCTGTCGATATCTTCTAGAACAGACCTAATAGCAGAATCTACTCACCTCAACTCTCCAGCGGCAGCCATTGTTGTTGTCACCCAACAGATGGTCATGTGGTTGATTACGTTACTG